GGCATTGAAAAGGTCAGCACAAACACAAAAATAGCTCAGCTGTTGATGGAAAACTATAAATTGAACAGAAAGATAAGAATTGGGGAACTGGGAAGGATAGTGGGGTGGAATGGGGGAGAGAAAGCTGTGAGATGCAGATTCTCAAGAAAAATATGACTTAAAAGGACACGGGAGTAAAGTATCACATGAAAACTAGAAGGCAGGAAATCTACTTTTGATACACCCTAGCCATCCATGAAATGTTCAAGTAATTCCAGACTTGAGTGTCTGGAGAGCAGAAGGCCTCCAAGAACACAGGGATTAGACCATCTCTGGGCTATAAAATAAATAAAAATATTTACATAGGGCTGACCCATATGTAAAGTAGAAAGCAAGCTATTGGCGTCTATTCTAGAACCCAGTCATAAACTTAAAAACAGATGTTGGCTTTCCCCACCAGTATACTCCACAATACAAACAAATTTGCTGACATGATCTGCTGATTTAGTGACTAACGCTGCGTTGTCTGTGACTCACACTATTAGAATTCAGATTGTTTTCCTGGGTGGGAAAGCAAGTAATTAGGAGCCATACAAGAATAACATTAACTTTTTCCCTCCTACTTTCTTATCTCCAGCATTCCTTTTCGAAATCATGCTTTGACCATAAAAGTATTTTTCTAGAAAACTAGTAAACCTCACAATGAGGAAAAATGTTGCTGATACCTTAATCCTAAAGCTTTCACCTTATCTATAGCTCTGTAAGTTGCTATTGTGTATAGCAGTGTTTCTCAACCGTAGGAACTCTACGGTACCCCATGCTGGCTGGGGAATTCTAGGAGTTGAAGTCCATACATCTTAGAGTTCCTACAGCTGAGAAACACTGGTGTGTAGGGTCACTTACTACTCTCTAAAGGTAGCATACAATTTCCATAAGAAGCAGCAGTTTCCACCCAAAGGAGTGTAAATACTTCCTCGCTGTTCTTAAGGCCTTCCATAGAAAAGGGTTGCAAATCTTTTGGAGCAACTTTTAGGATATATGGGAATGACAAAGGGAAGCTGCCTACTGATTTCATTTATACCTCTGTGGCAGAGGTAGGGCCATACATATGGAGATCTTCACACTAGTCAGTAGGAAGCCCTTTAATAACAACCTATTTATATTTCTGCATGGTTGGTTTGGCTTGATTTTTAACAAATGTGTATGGATCTACTTAGAAGTAATACCCAAGTAAATTTATATATTAATATGGCCTTAACTATTCTGGAAAGTTAAGTGCAGCACACTCCTACATATCCTTAACTGAAAGTAGGCCCAACGACAACTGGTTTTATTCCCATGGAAAAGTGTGTACAGGTAGTCCTCAACTTACAACCGCAACTGGGACTGGAATTTCCGTCGCTTAGCAACAGCAATCCCTGCAGTCCCAGTAGCCATCATTAAACAAATCCCACAATCGTTAGGCGACGCAACTTCCTGCCAGCTTCCTACAACCAAGGCAGTGGGGAAGCCGGCAGGAAGTTGCAAGTCCCAGGTGACTCACAAACAGGCCAGCAGGCAGATAAGTGGTGGTGCACAATGGTGTGAGTGAGGTGCAGCAAGGGCTGGGGAGGATGCACGGGGGTATGTGAATGTGCGAGGGAGGTGCAGCAAGGCTCAGGGAGGGTGAGTAGGGGTGCACGAGGGTGTGTGGGAGCTGCGGCGAGGCTTGGGGATGGGGGGCGGGGGGTGCGTGAGTGGCCAGCACCCTATCTCTATGTTTTACCACACACCATTTTGAAGTATTCCATTCCCACTGCATTCAACTTATGAATCTCCTGG